TTATAAGCATTATTCTTTTTCACAAAAGCGCGATCCGAAATGCGTACTCCTGTAATGTCGTTTCTAAAAGTCAGCATTCCGAGGTATTTGGCATTCTCAAAACCAGGTCGCCTTTTTCTCGCGTACTTTTCCTTGAAAAATCGCGTTAAAGCTTACTCCTACGTCCACGATTTCGTGCTCCGTTATACATGACAATTAATACCACAAAGGCTCTTACGTACGTAATATTTAGGAATGAAAGCGGATTATGATGAATACTTATCCTTGAACATTCCAAGGAAACTCGGGCAAGAACTTTTTGGCTGCCCCGCTTTGAATTTCAAACAGAATATTCAACAGGATATTCAACACTTCTGAAATTTTGAGCCATTCATCATTAAGAGCTTTATTAAAGAAGAAGTTAATTTTTATTAAAATAGTAATGAAATACCGTCTCTAACACGACTATTAAATACATTCAAGAAAGTAGTCGAAGAAAAATGTCTGAAATAATTTTAAAAAAATTCTTTTTTTTATACTTTTATAATTTATACTTTCTAGTTAGGCATTAAAGAGATTATTGTCATTGCACAATTAATAAAGTCTGATTTTTCAGATTATCACAAACCAACCAAGACGAATCCTTGTAAATCATCGCGGGCCATCGGATTAAGAGTGCCCTCGAGATGCGGTGATGGCTTTGTTGTATAGGTTCGCGCAGCTGCACGATCGCAGTGGCACGCGGGTCTTCTCCTTCGTCGTCACTAGGACCGTCGTGCGCGATCCTGAGAGAGACGTTACCAGCAAGGAACTAGTATGCGGTTTTCAGAGATGGGCCGTCGCTTTTTCACGCGGGGAAAAGGTAACTCGGTCGATTGGCGGCTTGTTGTTAGAATTATTAGTTATCGAGATCTTTCCTATGAATTTTCACTTAATTTTCAATCAGAAACCGGAAACCACGTTAAAGGCTCCTTTTGTACAGAATAAATGGGAAACTTATAATCATTTGCGTTTAATCTGTAATCCATATCCAAAAAGATGCAAGATCAGAATCAAATAGCAAACATCGAATACATTGATCGATCTTTCCAAGGTCCTGGGCGTGTACTTAGTATGGCGTGGCGCGTCAAGAAACCTCCGCGTATACGTGGACTTCACGTTCACGTTGCTGAACCGAGAGCACTTCTCCATGAACGAGAGCTTCTCTGGCAAACGCGTCAAGTTCACCTACGAGGCGCCGGCCCAGGGCAACCGCAGCTACATCGCCGTGGCGGATCTCTACAGCCGTAATTTCGCCGACACGAACGGCGAGTTTCAGCTGGAGCTGTCCATGGCGAACGTGCGGACGGTCTACATGACGGAGGTCAGGATGCCGACGTCGGTGTTCTCGGCCGGCCAGACGAAGCCGAACAAGTTGGAGACCGACTACTTCGCCTTCGGCGGTTTCGACTGGAATCTCGTCATCTATCCGCACGGCAAGGATGCGGACGGCCGTAGCCAAGACAGCCGCGTGAGCGTCTACCTGATGAGATTGTCGGGCTTCGATCATCGGTGCAGAGTGAGGTACAGCCTGGCCCTGGGCGAGGGTGAACGGCGGATCGATTCCGGTCAAATCGAGGATATATCCGACGCCGAGGGCTGCGGCTTCGGATGGCACACCAGGGTCAGGTGGTCCGACATCGCGCACAAGGGCACGCTTCGCGTGTCGCTCGAGATGCTCGAGGCGAGGACCATCTGCGAGGTCGCGGTGCAGGCGCTGGGCCCGTCGGTCCTGCCGGCTGCGCCCTGTTACGATCGCGACAAGCAGGCCTGGGCCATTCGCGCCGACCTCAACTCCGACACGGTCAGGCTGCACTTGGTGTACAAAGACATCCACAATGTGCCGAGGAATCATTTAAGGTGAATATCTTTTTTATCGTTGGAGATATATCGTCGGTATCACATCTAGCTTAGATTTAATATCTTTTATACTTAAAGTGAATTTTCGGTTTTTTTCAATCTAGCAAATATCATTGAAAAATTGCAATCTACTGAGGAGATTAAAGATCGACTTTTAATATTTAAAATAATATTTATTGGTAATAAAATGTTTAACGAATAGATATTATTTATTTGTAAGGCCAAGCTCGAAAAACATGATGAAGATTTTGAAAAATGTTTAGCGAACTAAATTTTTGAGAATTTTTTTATCCGAATAGGTATGTCAGTTGGTCAGCATATTTACTGAGGGGCGAGGGACCAAACGTCAAGGCGATTGGGCTGTCCGGCGAACCGTTCAGTCGCTACTACGTTCAGGAGTCTGTCGACGAGGGTATCATCATGGAGACTAATGTGGACATGAACGAGGTGAAGGAGAATCACTGTCCATATCTCACGGACAAGGGCCAGTTGAAAATTCGACTGGAGTGGAACGAGAGTCACTTGCTCTTTCAGGCGACCTATCACAAATATGACGACGTGTGTCGCGTGCATAATCAGCAGATGCGACGTGAGATCGTGTCGCTGCAAGCGGAGAACTACAGTCTCGAACGACAGCTGTTCAGCTATCAGAAGAGCCTGGCGTATGCACAGGCGCAGCAGCAGCAACAGCAGCAGCAGCAACAGCAACACCCGAATCAGCAGCACCACTCGGTGGTGGGTCATCAGGGTCATCTCGAGCGATCGGCGTCCAGCGACACCGAATACGCTTGACAAGTGGAACGCGAGTTACCATCGTCACCAACACCACCGAGTTACCGGCGTCAGTTGCCGACGGTAGCGGTGCCGGAGGAAGACCAACGAGTACATCAAAACCTGGTCAGGATGATGGATCGTCGGCTGAGCAATGTGCAGTTGCAGCAGCAGCTCTACGAGGAGCAGCGGCAACATCATCGGCACAGCAACGGCAGCGGTGGCAGCGGCGTCTCCTCGCCCAGGCGAAGCATCGATCGCACCGGCCAGGAGCATCGTCGCAGCATCCTGCAGCAGCCCAGATCCAGCGTCGGCGCCAGGTCCAGCGTCGGAAGCGGAGGCGGCGGTGGCGGCACTTACGAGAACCGTACCGCCGGCAACAACGGTCGGTATGCCGACTATTATCTGGGATACGTCCTCGGCCAAGCGGCGCACAAGCGACGCAGGACCACATTCTGGGAGACGTTGACAGGTCTGGTGTGCTCCCTGGGCGCTCTGGCCTCCAGAGCGGCGAAGATGGCCGCCAGACGGAGCGATGGATATCCTCTCTGAGGGTACGGTCGACGGCCGCAGACCCGACACGATTGCGGGGACGGGCAAACGCGCGGGAATGTGACGTGGAACTCGTTGGGTGTGCATATATACACCGCGTTCTGTCTTATGTATGTCGGTGCAATATCTCGCGCCATGCGAATTTCGAGAGATATCGAAGGCAGAAGTTATATACCGATCCAAGGAATTATATAATCTTAGCATGAAATTACGTGGTTTGCGTTCCTCTTGCATTTGTTTCTCCTGAAATTAATAATTTTATTTCTCTTACTTAGCGTTTTGTTAATTTAAAAAGTAATACAACACAGGTTCAGCTTAATTTGCTTTAATTAAATTTTCTTATTATGATATCATCGACAAATCTCATGTAAACATCTATAATCTATAATAATTTTTAATTTCTATCTATGATAAGTTTCATAATTTTCTTGATACGTATTTTCTCGTAATTTTATCTTTGCTATACTTTACTATTATCTTTATCATATAAAAATATATTATTCCACTTTTTGCAAGGTGTTAGAGACATACAATACAAAATATACATTGGACGCGCCGTATTTTTTCTTGAATACGGTCAGTTTTTATGCGAGACGTATTTGCAAACGGTTCCCGATTTATGATCACCGTACCGATTTTATGAGACAGAACATTCATGTATACATGTAATACAAGAAAAC